TCCCATTGGTATCGGATTGTGGTTCTGCTTGACTCCAAAGAGAAAGAGGACTAGGAGCAATGGTTAGATGTTACAAAGAAGCACATTGCACACCGTGCCTAGTACGCAGTAGGAGCTTACTTGGTGATTGATTGGTTGGTTGGTTGGCGTGGGTATCCCAGTAAAAGGAAAAACTTAATAGAAAGAGATGTCCAAAAGCGGAATGGGCGGTCTCGGGACAATTTCTCCCTTGCTGAAGGTCTTTGAGCAGAGGTTGGGAAACCACTTAAGAGGGATGTTATACAGGGGATTTTAGGTCAGGTAAAGGGTTGGAATGAGTGACCTCTGAACTCCCTTTGAACTCTGAAATTCTAGGATTAAACTCTTGGAAGCATACACATAGGAACAGTGTGCCATAGTGGCTAGAGGGCTCGCCTTGGAATTAGGAAGACCTGGGCTTAATACCTGCCTCCCAAATATACTTGCTGTGCAACCCTGGGCAAGCTGATCCCCTGGCAACTCTTATTTAAGACTATAAATTGGAGTACTTCTGTACTCTGCATTGGTAGAGGGGATATCCTCCCTGGGAGTTCCATCCACCAATGAAATCATATATCTGGTTAAAAAAAAAAAAAAGCAAACACATGTATACATGTTGGCTATTGATGCCAGATTCAGCTTCTTTTAGAATTCTCCTGACAGAAGGTATGAATGACTATGCTATGATATGGAGGAATAGCTTCTAGCAGACTGTTTCCCCACCATAGTAAGCTTTTCCAGAGATGGAGTACCATGTATCACATTTTAGCTTTACCAAGATGGCAGCCATATGCAGAGACTGGCTGGCACCATTCAGCAGAGTCAAACTATTTGCTTTACTCTCTGGGAACTGAAAAACAGGCATCCCTAGAGAAGAGAAGAAAAACAGGGTTTGAAACCATAATAAATGCTTTTTCATTCATGTCAAAATCCACATTAAGCATTTAATGGATTACATCAGCAGGCCCTGTTGATTTGTGATATCCCGAGGAGGCTGGTTCATTTTGATCACAGCTACAGCTTTTATTTCCAAACATGCTCATGCATTTGGTCTAAAGGAAATTAAAAAATGTTCCTCACAGAGAAAAAGACTGTATATCTCCCTCCTGCCAGCTTTTGCTTGGGTTTTTCATAGGACTTTGTGTGGAGGCAATTCTAGGTGTACTTCTTTGGAGCAGGAGAGACGTAGCAAAGGGAATGGACAAGAATGACCCTCAGGAGAGGGAGCCAGGGAACATTTATTTGATGGTCACTGAAAAATTGAGTTGCCTTGGAGTTTTTGAAATTTTTCTGCATGATGCTCTACAAAGAACCTTCCTCTGCACCCTGAGAGATGTTTATTGAAAGGCAAGAAGGAAATTGAACAGGGACCAATGGAAATCCAAGAGGCTCCAAGTTGAAACAGAGCTGGGAGGTTGTCTACTCCAACCCATATATGAAAGGAATGTCCACTATCACATACCTGACAGGTATGTGTATGACATATCCTACCTCTGCTTGAAGACCTCCCGTGAGAGGGAGACACCTGCCTCCCTAAACAAGTCCGTTCCACTTTGAGACAGCTCTAGTTGTTAAGTCTTTCTTACAGGCAGTGAAATCTTTCTCTCAGCAACTTCCATGCATTTCTCCTAATCCAGACTTCTGGGAATAATTAAGAAATCAACAAGCATTTATTGACCACCTACTATGTTCCAAGCACTGTGCTAAGTTCTAGGTGCTGGGGATACCAAGGCCTCATGAAGGCAACATTCTATTGGCAAAGCCCAAGGAAAGGTCTTGGGACACAATGGAAACAGTACTGAATTTTGAACACTGAATGTGGAATCATAAGACCTGAATTCAAATCCCAGCTTTGCCGTTCATTACCTGTGTGACCTTGGGCAAGTAACTTAATTTTCTCTGAGTGTCAATGTATCTATAAATGAGAGAGTTAGACCAGATGGCCTCTAAGGACTTCCAGCTCTAAGTCTATGATTCCATCAATATTTAAAGAGAAAAAAAATTCAGTGCCAACCAAGTTTAGGGACTTGGAAAATTGAATGAAATACAAAAGAAATTATTGTCACAGAAATGATTACTGATTATACAGAAGGCCTCTCATTCACATCAACTGAATCAGAGTGAGACTATGAGGAAAAGGGGGAATGGGGGAGGAAGGTATCTAAATATCTGTGAAGTTCTCTATGGGACAAGGATCCTGCCAAAGATGTCAGTGCTGGGGAGGACCTCAGAGATCAAGTTTATAGAGAGGAAACCGAGGAGTTCCAGAGAAGGGAAGGGACTTGTTCAAGGTCATGGCTCCTTATAATTGCAGAAGTAGGGTTGGGACCTAGTGGTCTCTCCCAGTACAGTTGCCACTCTATGTTCCAGAGCTTCATGCAGACATTGTTAACTTAGCCGAACATAGATGTTTCAAAAGGACAGTGTGATTCTGAAAAATGCCTAACATCCATGAAAAAATTAGCAATTTGGTTACTTGTAATAACCTGGATTTTTTAGTATTGGGGAGACAAATATGTCTCATTTTATGCAACAGAGGTTTTCCTGAAAGGGGGAGGAAGTGCATGTTGAACCACTGAAACTCAAATCCTATTTTAAATGCACAGGAAGAAAGGAAGGAAGGGAGGGAGGAAGGAAGGAAGAAGGGAAAGAAGGAAGGAAAGGAGGTAGGGAGGGAGGAGAGAAGGAAGGATGGGAGGAAGGAAAGAAGGAAAGATGGAAGAAGAGAAAAAAAGAGAGAAGGAAGTTCACTGGTTTTCATTTTGAAAAGGGAAGAATTTTGTAATGTGAATAATCCAACTTGCATTGTGGGTGCTGGGGAGGTTAGTGGGTGTCATTAGAAAATGTCAACAGAGGTAGCAATCAGGACTAACTGAGGCTTTGATGGCAATTTTTTGTTTATCAGTATAGTTGAAACTCCCTCCACTGATTCATACCTGCAGCTCACCTGTGACTTAGAGTCTTAGGGAGGTTAAATGACTTGCCTGTAGCCATACAACTAGTTGGTTTTCTGATCTGATGCTGATAATCAGCTAAGAAAAAAAATCCAATGCAGTGTTTAGGGGAATGACCTTGGATATCAGGAAGAACCTTGGTCAAGTCCTGCCTCTGAAATATACTAGCTGTGTAGCTATAGGCGAGTCATTTAACCTCCCTAAGACTATAAGTCACAGATGAGTTGCAGATATGAATTTGACCAAGGACTAGCCCAAGGTTCTTCCTGACACCAAGGGCATTCCCCTAAATTCTGTGCTGTTTTGTTTTTTTTTTCTTAGCTGATATTAGCATCAGATCAAAAGGCTTTCAAATATGTTGACTTATCAAGTTGTTTGGCTGAAAATCTATTGCACTTTTTCCCTCGTCTTGTTAGAGAGAAAGGGGGATTATGGGTACAGAAGATTGCACACATTGACAGATGTTTTTTGTCAATTGTTTTTGCTTAAATGTTTTTCTTTGCTGCATGGGACAATTTGGCAGTTGGAAGGACACTGGGAAGTGACTGGGAGGGGAAAAAAAGAAAGGCATAAAACCATCAATAAATTTTTAAAAATTAAATCAATTGCCCTCAAAGGAAAAGGAAATGGTATACATGTTGGAATTTTTTGAATATTCACAGTTTTAATTCACCCATTTCTCATTAGATGCATATTGCTGTGAGCTGATCTATCTAAAGGGGTCCATTGTCTCCTTCAAAATTATCATTAGAAAACACCCCTTATGAAGAAGAAAACAACAACAACAACAGCAACAACAACAAAGAAGAAGAACATTTAGCTTCCATATGGAACTTGCTCCCCACCCCCACTCCAAATCTCCCTTGTCTTTAGTGCACACAAAATAGGTGATTATGCATCACCTGCTCTTTGGCATACACTCCATCACTGTCTCCGGGTAGGGGCAGGTACAGAATTACCCTATTAAACACACCAGGAAGCTTGCAGCAGGCCTTAGTAATGACTACGGCTTCATCCCAATGATCAAGCTTGGTTCAGAGACAAGCATTAGAAAGTTATAAAAAGCCCTGATGGGAGCCCCCAGTCAGTTTCCAGGCTTGACAAGATCCCACTTGGTACAAGCTACTCCAGAAGGGACATGGGATGTGCTACCCAGAGAGACAAGGGAAGCCACTGAGAGGGAGCTCAAAGGGGAGCTACATGTTTAGAAATGACCATAACAGAAAGGGCTTGGTGTGCTGACTGTATTTAGGCAGGGGATGGTGATGATAACATAAGGAAAGGATACACAAATTAATGGAAGGGATCATTTGATTATTGTCCAATACTTGTCATCTTGGATGTTTTTGTTTTGTTTATTGCTGCATTCAGTTGTACTCTGGACTTCTCTGTCGTGTCCCAGAAACCTCTTCATCCTTCCTGGAAGGTCATTTTTACCCTGGAATTCACACTGGAAGTACACTCTGTCCCTCTCTCTGATTGGACAGCTCCAGTCCAGCCATCTCTACATTTCTCACCAGGCTGCAATCAGGACTCCTCCATCATGCCCCTTGCATTCCTCCTCCCCTTCTTTTCAGGATCTTTATGTGTTTTCTTCCCCCATTAGAATATAAGCTCCTTGAGGGAAAGAACTATTTTTCTTTTTTGCTTGTCTTTGTATTCTCAGTGTCTGTTGTTGTTATTGTTGTTGTTATTGTTGTTGTTTGTCCTTCGTTCTTGAAGAGGACCCTGACATCATTGATCCTCAGTGCCTAGCACTAGAGTAAATACTTAATAAATGCTTATTGATTGACTGCAATTGATCTGAGTTGAGTATGTATCATCAATATCCTAGATCTCTTCCATTTGAGTAAAGATGGAGTATGTCTTCTTTTTTTTTTCTTTTATATGAGGCAATTGGGGTTAAGTGACTTGCCCAAGGTCACACAGCTAGTAAGTATCAAGTGTCTGGTCTGAGACTAGATTTGAACTCAGGTCCTCCTGACTCCAGGGCTGGTGCTCTATCCACTGCGCCACCTAACTGCCCCTGTAGTATGTCTTCTTGAGCAACATTTTCTTTTTTTTAAAAAAATGTTCTTTGTTTTTATATCACTTTCCTTTCCCAATATACCCTTCCCCTTTTCATGCCCAGAGTCATCCTTTATAACAAAGAATTAAACAGAAAGGGGGGAGCAGTGACAGAAGCAGTTCAGCAAAACTAACATAGCAATCAAATCCAAGAGTATATTCAATGTTCCCCAAACATAGACCTCCACTTCGGCAAAGAAGGGAGGCAAGATGCATTCTCTTCTTTGGAAAGGAGTCCCGTCATTAGAAATTCATGGCCTTCAGCTTCAATTGTTGTCATTGTTCTTTCCATTAATATTGTTCTGTGTGAATGAATGAAAACATTTATTAAGCACTTACTATGTGCCTCATCACTGAACATACAAAAAGAATTGCAAGATAGTCCCTGCTTTCAAGGATCACATATTCTAATTGGGGAAGAGAGCATAGATAAGGTTTCTTGGGCAAGTCAGCTGTGTATATTCTGTATATTGTCTTCCTAGTTATAGAATCTTCACTTTATATGAGTTCATATAAATGTTCCCATGCCTCCCTCTATCCCTCATAGTCATCATTTCTTACAGAACAGCAATATTCCATTACATTCATGGACCACCATCTGTTTAGCCATTCTACAATCAACAGGCATCGACTCTGCCGCCACTTCTTTGCTACCCTAACAATTATTGCCATAAATATTTTGGCGTATATGAGACCTTTCTTTCTATCTTGGACTTCCTTGGGCCATGTAGACATTTAGTCACTTTCTTGGCATAATTCCATATTGCTTTCCAGGCTGGTTGAACCAATTTATGGCTCTAACAACAGTATATTAGTGTGCCTGTCTTCCCATAACCCCTGCTAACATTGACACTTCCATGTGAACACAATTTCTAAATCAGTGAACAGTGCTTAAATACCAAAACATTTAAAAAAGTAAATTGCTAAGTGATGAAATTGTATCACTTTGAGATGACATTTTAAAACCAAATATTTGAAAAGTCATAATGAGGGCATCAAGTTAAAGAAACTCTGTTAGCTGAAGTATTGTTTCATGGCAATTGAGATCAAGAATTCCTCTAGGCCCCCAAGGCATTGGGTGACTTTATGTTCTGAATGTTTCCCATTGTGCCAAACACGTAATTTCTCCATCAAGGTGGCAGTGCTGTATTTGTCATTAATACCTGGGGTTCAGAGTCATCACTGGAAAAATAACAGTCCCCAAATCAGGTTTGCATGTATCATTAAAATTTGACCCTTCTCCAATGAGTGGCTCTTTACCAATACAATGGATTCCCCCAATAGAGTGCAAGTTCCTTGAGGGTAGAGATTGTTTTTTATTTTATCCCCAGATGCAATAATTAACTACAGTGAATATTTAACTTCTTTATGTTGCTTGACACCCATTTTCTAGCCCACTACCTGGCACAGAGTAGGCCTTTTACGGATGCTTGGGTAATTGAATTGTTTAGGACCTGACTCAATTCTCATTAGTTTGCATCTGATCACTCTTCTTCAGTGCCTCATATGAAATGATGTGTTTTTCTGAAGTCACCGCCTAAAGCACTCTTGCTGGCAGCCTTCACTCAAGGGACTGACTTTCCATGGAAACTGAACTGCCTTCAGGTCATACTGACACGTGGGGGGAAATGTGAATTGCCCACTAGCCCAACTGCCTGCCCACCTGCCCGCCTGCCCTCTTGCCTCCAGGTTTCTTCTAAGATGGATAATCTGTGCATTTCATAATTGAGTGAATGCTATTCCTCCTCTCCCCCCCCCCCAGCCAAAAAGACCCCAATCCAGTTATGTAGTCTTTTCCCTTCTCTGGACCCCAGTTTCCCCCATCAAAAACAAAGGGATTGGATAATATGACCCCTAAGACTCTTCCCGAATTAGGGATTCTGTCATTTTACTTGTACCATGCCATTTTGCTCCAGTTATTGGCCACATCCCTAAACATGAGCCACTTTCTTTCTTGTCAAAGCTATATAGGTTGGATTTTTCTTTCAGTCTGTGTCTGTGATTTCATTAGTCTAGAATAGAGAATTTCATGTAAGGAAATTCATGCCACCAATGCAAATCAAATAACCAATCAAGCATTCTGCAGATGCTGAGTCTTGGAGGAAGCTAGGGATTGTAAGAGAGGAAAGGTGTAAGGTGAGGAAAGAGAGCATTGCAGGCATGGCAGACAGCTAGTACAAAGGCATCGAGAAGAGAGATGGAGTATAATGTGTGAAGAGCAATAGTAATTGGGCTAGTAGAATTGGACCAGAGAGTGTGTGAAGAAGAGAAAGTTAGGGTTTTGGAGAGTAGGCTAGGCCAGGGTCAGCTAGGTGGCAAAATTAACTGGCCCTGAAGTCAGGAGGACCTAAGTTCAAATCTGGCCTCAGATGCTTACTAGCTATGTGACCCTGGACAAGTCATTTAACTCCGATTGCCTCAAAAAAGAAAAAAAAGAGAGAGAGAGAGTTGGCTAGGTCACTGAGAGGTTATGCCTTGCACAGAGATAGCATATGTCAGAGATAGGATCTGAACCCAGGACTGATTGACTTTAAGGTGGACTTTCTATCCTCTACACCAGTGCTGTCAAACTCAAATACTATCCATCCCTGATGGCCACATATTGACTTAGAAAACCACAAATTCACATCATCTATGTTGTATTATATCTTAATTTTTTTTTTTTTTGCTTTTTGGTGAGGCAGTTGGGGTTAAGTAACTTGCCCAGGGTCACATAGATAGCAAGTGTCAAGTGTCTGAGGCCAGATTTGAACTCAGGTCCTCCTGACTCCAAGGCCAGAGCTCTATCCACTGTTCCACCTAGCTATCTTCTGAATCTTAATTTTTAAAAGATTTCCCAACTACATTTTGATCTGGTTGGGGTCAGACTCTGCAGTATATGCAGAATTAGTCTGCAGGCCTGAGTTGGACATTTCTGGCCAGATAGTACCCAAAGACCTTCACACAGGGTGCTCTCCCTATTGGAGAATTTAGAGACACTAGAATCTAGTCTGCCAAGGGATAGATCTAATTGTACCATCCTCTAGTCCACATGTCTTCATTTAAAAAATATTAACATGAGATGTTATCAAATGCTTTGCTAAACTCTGGGTAAACTAAATCTAGAACGTTCCTTTGATCCACCAATTTAGGTTTGGAAGTTGTTTGGGAGGGTAATCTGGATCTCTGATTTCATTGATATAGGCACATCCAGTGAGGAGATTCCCTGGACCAATGCAGATTGGCATCTGTTAGAGTCTCATAGGGCAACTTGGGGCACTGAGAGCTTACTTACTGGGGAAATTACCCCAGCCATCACATAGCAGTATGTCAAAGGCAGAACTTGAACCCAGGTCCTCCTCACTTGGAAGCTAGCACTCTAAAAGTAAATACCACGTCAATGAAATCATCATTTAAAATAAGCATCAATGCGGGGAAAGAACTATGGAGTCTGAATGCAGATTGAAGCATACTATTTTATCTTCTTTTGTTGTTTTTTGTTTTTTCTTTCTCGTGGTTTTTCCCTTTTGCTCTTATTCTTCTTTCACAACATGACTAAAGTGGAAATATGTTTAATATGATCATACATGTAGAGCCTATATCAGATTGTATGCCATCTTGGGGAGGGGGGAGTGGAGGGAGGGAGGGAAAATTTAGAACTCAAAATGTTATAAAAGCAAATGTTAAAAATTAAAAATCAATTAATGAATGAAAAAATAAGAAAAAAAGGGATAAGTATCAATGCCTATAATTTTACAGAATCCATTCTCTTCCCTTTTGTGAAAAATCAGGACATTTGCCCTTCTCCCATTGTGGGGCACCTTTCCTGATCTCCATGATCTTTGAGAGATCATTGCCAGTGACTCAGCAGCCACACCTGTCAGTTCTTTCAGTACCCAAGATGCAGCGTACAACGACATGGGGACTTGAAGTCATCAAGAGCAGTGAGGCACTGTCTTACTTACTCCTTGCTTATCTTGGGTATCAACTCCATATGAGCCAATTTTGCTCTGTTTTTTCCAGTCCAAAGATCAAGATCTTTGGCAGAGAAAATGAAGCAAAATTAGAACTGGGCAGCTCAGCCTTCTCTCTGTCATCAGCTACTACCATTCCATCCATACCTTCTTTTTTGGCCTTATCCCTTCTGTAATCTTCCATTTCTTTTCCCCAAGAAAGCTTTCAAAACAAATCAGCAACACCCTTTTGGTTGTCCTTAGCTTTCTTCACCAGCCTAAGCTCATTCAGAATTTTAGCCTTCCTGACGGCATCCTTACAGAACCATGCCATGCTTCTTCACTTCCATCTTCAAATCAGAGTTGGTTGGTGAGTTCCCTGTGCGGCCACATTGGTCTATTTGGATAAGCCCCCTTTTTCCTATATCTCAGAATTGTTTCTCTTTGTGCTCTTAGAATTTTATTCCTGAGAGCTTGCTTTTAATCTAACTTCTCCTGTGGGATTTTGATCCTTATGACCCTACCTAGCGTTCCTTTGAACCCTTGGAAATCTGTCATCCTCAAATCTAGGATTCATGTCAGATTATGATCAGCTTTCCTCTCCATCTCTATCACAATGTCTAGGAGGGAACAGTAATTTCCCCCACTCCCCCCCACAGGGCCACCATTTCATTCTAGTAACCAATTCTTCCCTTCAGGTAGAAATCTGATCCAGAATATACTCGTCCCATGTTGGTTTCTCCACCTTTGGAAGGATAAAATTATCATTAAAGTATAATGTCCTTCATTCTACAGCTCCCACTCTCCTCTTTCTGTGAGAAGCAAAGGGAAAGGGGTCGGGGTTAGGGGACTTGGAGAATGAAAGAGGAAAGGAGATGATGCAGTGGCAGCAGAGAGTGGTAGTCCAGGTCAGGAAGAGAGGGATATAGGGATATGTAAGGACAATAGTATGACTGTTCCTAGCCTGGGCTGGCTGCTGATTACACTAACCAGACTCTCTAATGGGGAGGGAGTTGCTTGTGGCCAGACATGGTCTAGCAGCCAGACAAATCACCAGTCTTCCTGAGTTCCAGTTCCCACTGGATCCCATGCTCTAGCTCTATCAATAAATGAATCAATAAACACTTACTAACTGCTTACTATGTGCCAGGCACTGTGCTAAACACTGGGGATACAAAGAGGAAAAAAGAAAGACAGCCCCTGCCCTCAAGGAGCTTATAATTGAATTGGAGAAGTCAATGTACAAAAGAAAGCTGAAAAGGAAGGGGAGTAGGAATGAGATTGAGGGCATGTGTGCCTATAGGGAGCTGAGACCTTGACTCCAGAGCTTCCAAAGCTGTACCTGATAACCAGTCTTGGCGGGGCATGGAAGTGGAGCATCTTGCAGAAACTGCCTTATTACACTCTGGCTAAAGGGAGGACTCCCACTGTGAATGTCCCAGAATTCCTGGGTCCAGATGGAGCCTACCTCTAAGGGAATTAAGAGGTTTAGGAGAACAGAAAGCTTGCAACATTTTATTATCCATTATGTTCTAGTCATTAAGTATTGTTTATTTCCTTATTGATTCCATGCTAAGAGGGAAAACACTTCACTCAGCATTCAGCAGGTGTATCTGCTTCCATAGGGAACCAAGGACATAATTCCTAGGCCATGTGACTAGAGTTCACTGCCAGAATGTTCAAAGGAAGTGGAGTTAGCTAGTGGGCAGGGCCGTGGAACTAATGCTGATTGGGGAGGGGAGACCCTCGAGTTCACATGCCTGTAAACTAGGGACACGACCCTGTAGAGAAGTTGGGCAGAGAGATAGATGGTTTGCTGAGTTTGGTAACTAGAGAGAGTGCAGGAGGAATTCTATGCACCAGAGCCCCAGGGTGAACTTAAGGCTCCCTTGTGAATAGCTTTGGGAACCACCTGGAGGTTAAAAAAAAAAGGCAAGTGGAGAAATTAGTAGCTACTTTGTTTTTGGACGAGAAAACTCTAGCTGCTAGAGGGGTGGGGAACCTGTGGCCTCCAGGCCACATGTAGCCCTCGAGGTCCTCGGGTAAGGCCTTTTTGACTGAGTCCAAGTTGGGCAAGTTGGGGATTTGTTCTGTGAAACTTGGACTCAGTCAAAAGGCCCCACCTGAGGACCTAGAGGGCCACATGTGACCTCGAGGCTGAAGGTTCCCCACCCCTGCCAGCAGATAGCTAGATAAATGAAATCCCTCACCCATTACTACTGCCAGGCTTGTGATGTTTCCCAACCACCTCCCCTATTTCTCTCTTCTGTCCAAGTAGTCTCTAGTATACTCTGATGAAAAAGAAACATCACTTCAGCTTCTGCCTCAATTGATCCATAAGGTCAAGTTGGCATTTTTATGTTAAAACCTCAAGTTCATCGTGCTTATTGCCTATTATACCTATATATTATATTTGACGTATTTTTGTTGTTCAGTCATTTTCAGTCGTGTCTGACTCTCTATGACCCCATTTGGGGTTTTCTTGACAAAAAAATACTAGAATGGTTTGCTGTTGCCTTCTCCAGTTCATTTAACAGATGAGGAAACTGAGGCAAACAGGGTGAAGTCACTTGCCCAGGGTTACACAGCTAGTATGTGTCCTAGGCTGGATTTGAACTCAGGTCCTCCTGACTCCAAGCCCTCGCTCTGTCCACTGTAGTGCCACCATAGGTTTTATTTACTCCCAACTGCTTTCTTGGATTTTATCTCCTGTTAACGTCTGGTAATCTCAACTCCTATTCTTCTGATTCTAACTATTCTCTAGGGAATCTAGCTTCATGGATAATATGTAGGCAATTTTTCCCCCTTTCCTTCCTTTTTAGTTTAAAACCCTTTTGATTAGATTGCGAGATATCAGCAAAATGCTAGCCCCTTTTACTTTTTTACACATTGGAACCCCTCTCCCAAGTGTTTGATTTTTTTCAGAACATTGAATTGTCCCTGATTACCTGGAGTGTGAAGAGGTGCTCCTTGAGCCTCTTCACCTTATCTCCTAGGAGGGAGACCAGCCTGCACTTTGAGCATAGATAACAGCCACTTGCCTGTGACAGAGATACAAACATTGCATGCTAAAAGGAAATCACTGCAAAAATCCTCCCTGCTTTCCATACTTATGAGAAACAAGCTCCTCATTCTTTGCCTTTCAACCGGCTTGTTTTAACATCTTGACAACCTCTTTGGCACCTCTTAACAGTTTGACAACCACATCCAATTTCCTTTTCCTTCCCTTGATAACTTATCTCTTACCTTCTTTAACTGAAAATGATCTGGGGGGTGGGGTTAATGGATTGCAAGCTTAATATGAGTCAGCAGCATGATGTGGCCACCATAAAAGCTAATGCCATCTTAGCCTTCATTAAGAGAGACACTACAACCCAACGCCAGTTTCTTCTTCTGATCTGGGCGCAACATTCTAGTAAGGATAGTAATAAGATGAAGAACATCCAGAGGAGGGCAAATAATATGGGGAAAAGCCCAGAGGCCATGTCCTATGGGGACTGATTAAAGGAATTGTGCATGTCTAGTTTGGGGAAGAGAAGACTCTTGGGTATGGAGTAGGCATTGAACTTATAATGCTTTAAAACACAGGACAAAATCCAGAAAAATGGGTAGAAATCACCAAGTAAAAGGGGGAAGAGAAAAGAACAAGCATTTATTAAGCACCTACTAAGCACTTTACAGGTAATCTCTCGTTTGATCCTTACAACAACCCTGGGAGGTAGATATTATTATGACCCTCATTTTATAGTTGAGGAACTGGGGCAGCCAGAGGTGAAGTGACTTGCCCAGGGTCACACAGCTAGTTAAGTGTCTGAGACTGGATTTGAACTCAGGTCTTCCTGACTCCAGGCCCAGAACTCTATCCACTGCCCCTAAAATGGCCACTAAAGTTCCTCCAAGGCTGACATCCTGAGATTCTCTGTGAATATGAATCAATATTGTGACATGGTAGCTGAATATTAAATGCAACCTTAGTCTGCACTGAGTGAGTCACAGTGTCAAGGGCTAGAGAGGTCATAATCCCTCTATACTCTGCTCTGATCAGACCACATCTAGAATATGGCATTCAGTTCTGGGTACCCTGGATGGGTAAGGGCTTTGAGATGAAGCCATGTGCCATCAGCTGAAAGAACTTCATATGTTTTATTTGGAGAAGATAAGACTTGGGGGGTATATAGCAGCCATCTTCAAATATTTGAAGGTTTGTCACATGGAAGAAGGATGAGCTTTGTTCCACTTGGCCCCAGAGGGCAGAACAGGTGGAAGTTGGGATTGGAGATTAAGGAACTCTTTGTAACAATGAGAGCTGTCCAAAGTGGGATGGGCTACTTTGATTGGTAGTGGGTTCTCCCTTTCCCTGGAGAGCTTCAAGGAGAGGCTGGATAACCATTCATTAGCTATGTTATAAAGGAGATTAATGTTGGGACACAGAATAGATTATTTAGCTAGATTAGATGGCCTCTGAGATCTCTTCTGATGGAAAATTCTGTGATTCCATTTGTTTCAGTGACAGAACTATAGATGTTAAGAATTCGGAAAGTATGGGGCAGCTAGGTGGCACAATGGATAGAGCGCCAGCCCTGGAGTCAGGAGGACCTGAGTTCAAATCGGGCCTCAGACATGTAACACTCACTAGCTGTGTGACTCTGGGCAAGTCACTTAACCCCAATTGCCTCATTAAAACCAACCAAACAAACAAACAAAAAAAACCAACAAGAATTTGGAAAGTAAATCAGAGAAAGTGCCTGATCCAACAATATGGAGGTTCCATCACTACCTCTTTTAAAATCAGGAAGTCCTGTGAACAATTAACAGAAAGAGGGGTCTTTGTAAATTTTTTTCCAGTTATTTTAAAATGTCAGTGGGTCATAGGCTTTGTCCAATAAAGAACTCAAGCTGTTCCACTGTTACCAATCCACCATCTTTTGCTGCGGCTTAGTGTAGCTTGAGGGTTGAGATGGTAAATTCAAGGTTTCATTGTCAATTTGGGCTGCAAGTGGCTGATAAGGAAGGTAACACCTTGGGACCAACTCTCACTTTTTACAAAAAAATGCATTGATTTTTGGGGGGGGCTTTTTCTATCACCTTCATTTCCAGATATATCCCCCCACTTCCTCCACCAGCTAACCATCGTTGTGGCAGAGAACAAAAAAGAAAAAGAAAAGCTGTTCAGAAAAACTAACCAATACATCACCTAAGCTGGACAGTATATTCGATGTTCCATATACTTAGTCCAAAGAAGGGAGGGAAGTAGATTTTCTCATCTCTTCTTCAGAGATAAGCTTGGTCATTATAATTGAATAGTGTTCAGTTTTGTTTGTTTGTTTGTTTGTTTGTTTTTGAGAGGAACACTCTTTCCATTTAGTTGTTAGAGTCACCCTGCCTATTGTTTTCCTGGTTCTGCTTACCTCATTCTTCATTGGCTCATATAAATCCTTCCAGTCATTTCCAAACTCCTCATTTTCATTTCTGATGGGGCAGTATGTCCCAGACCTCACATTTTCAGAGATTCATAGAACTTTAGATCTCATCCAGCTCCAATCACCTCATTTTACAGAGGAGGCCCCAGAAAGGGCAAGCAACTTGCCCAGAGTCACACAGCTAATTTGTGGCAGGGTCCATCTACACTCCTTTCTAATCTATTGGTTTCTCATGTATACTATTTATTTTGAAGTAGAGACCAGATTGGAAGATGCAGAAGGTAGGAGAAAAAAAATGTCAGCTATTGATAGCAATTGATCTACCCCAGCCAACAAACAGGTACCTTTCTGTCCTGTAAGGTAAGCACTAGACTGCTACACAGACTACATTGAAGTGGAGATGTAAAATGTAGAGACCAGTATGGGAGAAACCCTGGACAATATTCTTTGCCCCGGGGGCAGCTAGGTAGCTCAGTGGATAGAGCACCGGCCCTGAAGTCAGGAAAACCTGAGTTCAAATCCCACCTCAGACCAAACACTTGACACTTACTAGCTGTGTGACCCTGGGCAAGTCATTTAACCCCAATTGCCTTTAAAAAAAAATATTTCTTGTCCTGAGACTGATTCTTATCAAGTACAAATGAATGACCAAAGTCAAAATTTTTTTTTAAACATCTCAAACTTCTCTAAGAGCTAAGATGACCCCTCTAAGTAACCTTTATCCCCTAAGCAGCAGTTCTTAGAACAAACTGCACAGCCTAACCCAATGCTAGGCAATGTACCCACTGCATCATCAGAAGTGGTCAAGCACTGGCCCTGGATTCAGAAGGACCTGAGTTCAAATTTGGCCTCAGACACATAACACTTACTAGCTGTGTGACCCTAGGCAAGTCACTTAACCCCATTGCCTAGCCAAAAAAAAAAAGTGGAATGTAAACTAAGCTTTGAAGGAAACCAGGGGGTCTGTGGGGTGGAGGTAAGGAGAAAATCTATTCCAAGCATGGGCAACAGCCAGTACAAAGACAAAAAGACAGGAGAGGGAGGGTGAAGTTTGGCTGCATTGTAGAGTGAGTATAAGGCTGGCAAGGTAGGCTGGGGCCAGGTTGGAAAATCATTAAATGCCAAAGTTTGCATTTAATCCTTGAAGTAATAGGGAGCCATTAGAGTTGATTGAGAATGGGAATAATGAAGTCGAATCTGTACTTTAGGAAAAATCACTTTAACAACTAGAAACTGAACTGTGGTGAAGAGAAAAATGAAACAGAGACTGTGGCTATTGCCACAGTCCAGATGAGAGGTGGTGACGGCTAGAGCTGAGGTGGTGATTGTGTGAATAGAGAAAAGACAGTTGTGAGAAATGTTGTGGAGATGGAAATGAAAGATTTGGCAGCTGACTGAATGAGGACTGTGGGAGAGAAGAATCAAAGATCACTCCATGTTTGGGAAATTGGGAGCCTGGGAAGATGGTGTTGGCCTCAACAGAAATAGAAAGTTCATAAGAGGGAAGTGTTTGGAGGAAAAATAATGAGGTCTGTATTAGACATGTTGTGTTTGAGAGGATTGTGGGACATCCTGTTTGAAATGTCCAATATACAGTTGGTGATAAGACTGGAGCTTAAGGGAAAGACTAAGTCTGGAGAGGTAGATCCAAGAGTCATTTTTGAAGATGACAGATTAACCCCTGGGGAGCTGAAAAGGTCACCAAGAGAAAGACAATAGAGGGAAAAGAGAAAAGGATCCAGGACAGAGCCTTGGAGAAGGTCAACAAATACCTATTGGACTTCACTTCAAAACCTGCTTTCAATGCATCCTTTGGTCTCTCTTTGTTATCTATTACAGAGCCCTTTTTTCTGATTGATTTGTATAGTATATGTCTCCAGATTTTATCATCAAGAGGTGTCACCCCCCTCCCTCCCCCACCCCCACCACAATGCCATCAATGCCCTGCTCTAAGCTGTAGATATGGCTCTCCAGCCCCCTAGGGCCCCTTTGGAGATGCAGGAAGCCTCTTCAGAGATACAATCTCCCTAACTCTGGCTCAGGTTTTCACACACCCCTGACCCTGCTCCCTTTGATTCCTATAGATTCCCTGGCCTGGACCACTTTTCTTGGACTTTGGATTGTCTTTGAGACTGGCCTAGGGTCCCAGTGTCTTCCTGCTTCTCTCCCAGCCTGCTGCCTGCTTGTCTACTCTGAGGCTGACCTTTGGCCACCTCAGGTTCCCCGTTATCTGTGTTTGTCTTGCTTGTACTGTACCTTGGACTCTTTTGCACCCAGCTTCCCACTGGTACCAGAGACCCCCCAGCACTGACTCCCGATAAAAGTTGAGCTTAAAATGAAAGAGGGTTTAGTAATGTCAAAAGTAAAAAATGCTAGATGTTAAAAATTAAACCTTGAGCAAGCAATCTACTTATTTAGAATATCATGGGTGTGGGACTATAAAAATGTATGGAATGTAGTTGCTCAGAGTTATCAGTGTGACATTTGAGTGCCTACTATGTGCAAGGCCCTGAGGATCTCTTGCCACTGGAGAGCTGTTCCTCACTCCTCTAGGACGGTGGGGGGGGAGTTTGTCTTTGTATCCCAATGTCTAACAGAGCCTGGCACACAGTAGGCATTTAATAATGCTTGTTCTTTGATTGGGGAGGTAGTGTGGTACCTACCTTCAAAAGAGCACTGGATCTGGAATCAGAAGACCTGGGTTCACATTTAACCTCTGATTCTTCCTGTGTGACCCTAGGCAAGTCACTTACCCTCCCTGGGCCTCAGTTTCCTCTTCTGTAAAATGAGAGGCTGGACTAGGTGGTCTCCGAAGTCCCTTCCATTTCTAGGTTTGAGATCCTAACGATCTAACTGCTTAAGTTTGGACCGAAAAATGGGGGTAGGGGTGTAGCAGGAAGGTTTGTAAAATACATTTTTTCAGTAATCACTTCTAGTGACAGAAAAAAACAGAGAGAGAGAGAGAGAGAGAGAGAGAGAGAAATCTTAGAAATCTTAACCTTTCCAGGAGTCTCAACTGGTTAACGACATCTCAGCCGGGCTTGGAAAACCAGTTTGGTGGTTCAGAGGCCAGGAGAGAGGTGCCTTTCAGCCCAGGCATCACGTGGGGCTCCCCGGAGTCCGGTTCCTCATTCCAAGCTGCTTGGTATACACGGGTTGGAATAAGAGAGAGGAAAATGTCGATGCCCGCGCAGTAAGGCATCCATCCCCCTGGCACTCAGCTTCGGCGCGAAGCCCAGGCGAGAGTGCTAGTGCCTCCGCGCGCCCAACCAGGGGAGGGGAGGGAGGAGGGAGACACAGAGAGAGAGAGAGAGAGAGAGAGAGAGAGAGGAGAGGCGGGGCATGCGGAAGCCCCCCCCCTTTTCTCCCCCTCAGAGGGCGGGGCCTGCGCTGGGGGCGTGGGGAGGGGGCATCTCAAATACTGTGAAATGGAGCTGCCGCCTTCAGAGCTGCCGGGGCTGTGAAGGAGATCACTTACCTGTGGGCAACTGAAATTTCAAACTTCTACTTGAGCAGGGGCGCGAGCAGATCCCGCTGCCTGCGAATTGAGCCCAGCGACGGTCCTCGTCGCTGGCCTTTCTTGTACTTTCTATCCCTCTATTTTATTTTATTTTATTTTATTTTATTTTATTTTATTTTATTTTATCTTTTCTGGGGGACGTGGGAGAGGGCAGCCCTCGGCTGCACCCCAGCCATGAAGCTGCAGAAGAAGTGCGGGCTGATGGTTCTCCTCCTGCTCACCGTCCTCTTCCAGACCCCGGAGTCCTACTCCACGAACGCCTATGTCACCGTCACCTACTACAACCAGAGCAGCAACCACTCCACCACCGAGGTGTGCGAGTGCGGGATCTACGGCTTGGCGTCTCCCGTGGCCAACGCTGGCGGCACGGTGGGCATCCCCAAGAGCTTCAACTACCAGGCCTGTGACCCCCACACGGAATTCACCTATAGCGACACACCCTGGATCGCTCTCATCGAGCGGGGCAACTGCACTTTCTCCGAGAAGATCCAGACCGCCAACCGGAGGGGGGCGGAGGCCGCGGTGATCTACAACGTCCCGGAGTCGGGCAACGAGACCCTCCAGATGGCCAATTTCGGTAAGTCGGGAGCCGTGCCCCCGAGGCGAGGCTGAGACGGGGCTCCTGAGGGACCCGCAGCGTCCTAAACGCATCCCCGAGGTCCAAAATGTCGTGGTCATCTCAGGATCCACCCAAGGACCTGACAAGAGGCGAGGGGGAAAGAGGGAGGAGGAGTTCACCTTCAACTTGAGATTCCTGGACATTTGGGGGCTCTTTTCCCATTATTATTTTTAATATAATAAACATTAGTAGTGGGATACCGGCATGGAACAAGCAGTCCGTGAAGGGGGTATTGTTCTATTTCCCTTTTTTCTAGGACCGTTTCGGTTTTCTGATGGTGTTACATAATTTTTTTTTTTAAAAAAAAATCAACTGTGCCTTTCCCTGTAAACAGGAATGAAAGGAACAATATTTCTCTAAAACCCCGCAGATTTTTTAAGTTCGTGATTTCTTTGTATTTTTTCACTCCGATTAAGCTGCTCCTGTCAAGAGCTAACAGTGTTGGTGCGTGAATTGATTTGTTGACCTGGCTAAAAATAGCGTATTTAAGTGACACTCTTTGCAAAAATGAGTGAAGATTTCATGCCACTGTTTGTTTTTTTGGGGAGGGGGTTGGTGAGGAACTCGTCGGAAACATTCAGGTGAAAATCGGGTGCCAAGTCCGAATTTTTCGCCACTGTTAAGGGTGTACGAGATCAGAGTTGGATTTTTCCCCCCAGACTTTGTGATTTCATTGGTATAGGGAATTCTTGGTGAGAAAACTCCTTCTGCCAATGCAAATCGATACCCGCTGTGCAACTGGTTGTCTTAAGAGAGCTGAGAGATTTAAATGATTTATCCAGGATTACATAGCCGGTATGAGTCAGAAACAGTACTCGAACCCAGGTTTTCGCGACGCCGAGCCGTGTTTGCTATTCACTGTGTCTGGCTGCCTCTGGTTGTGTATTGTAACAGCGTTATAATATAAAGTGTATCTTGCTAACATTATAATGTAGAATTCATTATATAATGGATTCTTCTGATTTCTTTTTTGACTGGATGGACTTGTGTTTTCATTGATGTAGTAGGGAATGCCTGGTTAAGAAACTCGCTCTACCTATGCAGATCCGAACCTGCGGTGTAATTCATAGTCTTAAAGACTTACCTGGGGCACTGGGAGGGAAAGACATTTGCCCTGGGTCATTCGGCCAGTCTGTGTCCAAGGTGGGTCTAGGACCGAGTCTGCCTGACTCGAAGGTGGGGGTCATTGTTTACTACACCAAACTGACTGTCTAAAATCAATAATCGGTCTACGAGCATTTATTAAGTACGGACTACGTGTCAGACACACTGTGCTAGGGAAATACACGGGAGGGAGGAAAAAAAAGACAGTTCTCTCAGTGAGTTTACCTTCTATCAAAGGACATGATTAGGGACTGGTCCTGTGATTTCATTGATACAGAGAGAGCTTCTGAATAAGGGAACTCCCTGTACCAATGCAGGTTTGGCATCTATTCTATAATTTTTGGAGAGTTGGTCTAGAGCACTGAGAGGTGAAATGATTTATCCAGGGCCACACAGCCAGTCAGGTCTTTGTGGCTTTGGGACCAGCTTCCTTTCCAATACTCTATACTGCTTCAGTATATGTCTCTATATACTAAGTACATACAGAATGAATGCAAAGCAGTTAGGGAAAGAAGGCAACTGGGTGGAAATCAGGGAAGATTTCATGCAAAAGGTGGTCCTTGAGTAGTGTCTTAAATGTGATTCTGAGAGATGGACATGAAGGGGGAGTGCATTCTATTCATGGGGGACAGCCAGTGCAAACGCATGAGGACAAGATGGAGCATTCGGCGTTTAAAAAAAAAAAAAAACACAGGGAAAAGGCCAGTTTGGCTTATAGAGTTCTGGAAGGAGAGGAATGTATAATGAGGCTGGAAACATTGGTTGGGGCCATGTTGTAAAAGGATTTAAATGCCACATTGAAGTTTATATTTATCTTAGAGGCAATAGGAAGCTGCTGGAATATACTGGGAGATGGGGGGGGGGGGTCAGACCTGCAGTTAAGGAAATTTGCTTTAACAACTGAGAGGAAAATGGATTGGAGTGGAGATAGGACAAAACTAACTAAGAGTCGATTGCAGTAGTCCGGGCTAGACGTGATGATGGCCAGAACTAAGGTGGTGACTGTGAGAGGAGAGAAGGGATCGTATTTGAGAGATGTTTGAGACATAGAAATGGCAAAGTTCAGAATTGAATTGGATATGGGGGAATGAAAGAGAGTGAGGCTGATGAAGAACCTGGGAGACTGGAAAAATGGTGGCACCCTCCTACACAGGGCTGTTCAATGGGGAGGGGTTGGGGAGTTCAATTTTGGAATGATGAATTTGAGATGTTACTGGGATGTCCAGTTTGAAATGTCCGAAGGGCAGCAGGTGAAGCAAGAAAGGTGTTCAGGGGACTGCCTCTGGATAGATATATGAATACAGGAATTGTCTGCACAGAGATGATAATTGGATCCATGGGAGATGAGGAAGTCACCCACCAAGAGAGAGTGTGTATAGGGAGAAAAGAAAAGAGGACCCAGGACAGAGTTCTGAGCTAAAATCCACAGTTAGTGGGTGTGATATGGGTGACAAACCAGCAAAAGAGACTGAAAAGGGGAGGCTAGACAGGTAGGAGGAGAATCAGGAGAGAGAAATGCCACAGAAACCCAGAGAGGACAATATAATAATGAGGTAATATGATAATAATAATAATATGATAATAATAATGAGATAAAAGAAATAAGCAAATGAGATAATCAAAAGAAAACACTTCAGGAGGAGAGGGTGGTCAACAATCTACAACAGCAGAGATGTCAAGAAGGATAAAGATTGAGGAAAGAAGAGGGAGGGGAAGGGAGAAGAAATAAGCATTGCCCACTATGTGCCTGGCACTGTACTAATGGCATTACAAATATTATCTCAGTGGATCAGATCATGGTCAAGTTTAGAGGTGACAGCTTCAGTTGGGCGATGAGGTTGGAAGTCAGATTGCAGAAGGTTGAGGAGTGAGAGGAGAGAAAATGGAGGCAGCAAACATAGATGGCATTTCCTCGGAGTTATCTTAAGGGGGTGGTAGGATTTAATGTCAGTATTTTAAGGATGAGGGAAACCTGGGCATATTTGAAGGCAACAGGGATGGAGCCAGTAGATAGAGGGAGAGTGAAGATAAAAAAGAAAGGATGATTGAGGGGGCGATCTGCTAGAGAAGACGAATTCAAGGGCACATATGGAGGGCTTAGCCTTGGCTAGGAGGAAGGCCACCTCATTATCAGAGTCTGAGAAAAAAGAGGGGGGAGATAGTGGGAGATGATGTCAAGGTGTTTTGAGATGAAGAGAGAGGGAGAAGGGGGAGCTCATAGCAAATGGCCTCCGTGTCTTTCTCTATCAGTCTTTCTCTGTCAGTCACTGGTGTAGGAAACGAATTCCCTCAACCAATGCGTACAAGCACAATACCGTCTAACTGCAGCTTACCGCAGTTTACCGTCTTAAAGAGTGTTGCCTGGGGGCACTGAGAAATTAAGTGACTTGCTTGGTATATGTTAGAAGCTTGAACTCAGGTCTTCCTTCCTCTCATTAAGTCAAGGAGTCATTGGGCAAATTGAGTGAGAAGCAGATGACCTCTGATTTTGACCTTGCCTCCATCTCCCCCTGACCCACCCAGCCTCAAGCTGACCCTCCCAAACGTCCACACTTAAAGTCTTTCCACCCATTCCCATCCTCCTCCCCATCCATCCTCAGCTGCTGATATTCAAGGCTTCTCTCTCCACCACTCAACTAAAACTTTTTTTTTTTTTACTAAGGACACTGATCATTATTTCCCCCCAAACTCATGGCCTTTTTTAAGCCACCATCCTTTTTGATCTCAGCAATATTTGACCTTGTAGACCAATCCCTCTTTCTTGATTCTAAGCCACCTACCTAGCACCCCCCTCTACTATTCCCCAAATTCCTACCTTTCCTCACCTCATCTTGTTATTCCTTATCCTGTGTCCCCCCTTGATTTTTTTCCCGGAATTAAATTCCTACTTTGCTCATTTTCAATATCTTTCTCTGGGCTTTTTTCCTTTTCCTATTCCCTAAGTGGAGTCATCTCCCAAGGCTCTATCCTCAGTCCTTTTCTCTTCTGTTTCCCTTGGCTTCCACATTCCCATATATGCAAATGATTCCCAAGTGTATATTTCTAGCAGTAACATTAATGCTGAGTGGCATTTCTCACTATCTGCTGCTGGACTTGGAGTCTGGAAGAAGTAAATTCAAATCCTGCCTCAGAAGCATACCAGCTATGTGACCTTTGGAAAGTCATTTGACTTTCCTCAGTCTCAGTTTATTAATCAGTCAAATGGGGATAATAATAGCACCTACCTCTCAATGGTTCCTCATGGCCTAATTAATAAAGTCCAGCCTTTCAATTTGACATTCAAGGTTCTACATAGTGTAGTTCCACTCTGCCTTTCCAGCCTTCTCATGCTACTGTTATTCCCGCAAACTGGATTCCTCACTGATCTCCAAACTCCTGCTTTTCCCCACCTCCTTGTTTTTCTTCTTGCCATTCCCTATACCTGGAATCAACACTTACCCCACAGGCCTTCATCTCTGTCCATTGAAATCCTAGTCACCATTTGGTATCCAACATATATAGCCAACCAACAGAAATATATATGACCATGATTCATTTCCTAGCAGACAAGTTAATAGAGGCAGCTAGGTGGCACAGTGAATAGAGCAGTGGGCCTAAAGTCAGAAAGACTTGAATTCAAATCCAGCCTCAGACACAACATTAGCTATGTGACCCTGGGCAAGTCACTTAACCGCTGTTTGTCCCAATCTCCCCAGCTGTAAAATGGGTTGTTATAACAATCAAATGAGATAATAAAAAAAATAATCAAATGAGATAATAATAAGAAAACACTTAGCACAGTTCCTGGTACATAGTAGGTGCTGTATAAAACTTTTACTATTGTTATTGCTGTTGTTGTTGTTGTTACAAGTGGT